AAACAAAAGAAAAAGACAAAGAAGTAGTCGAAGTAGCAATCCTCAACAACTTTTTAAAGAAGCAGCTGAACTAGCAAGCCTCAACAGTTTTTAAATTTTTTACACCAGGAGCCAAAGGTCTGTTTCAGGAAATCAGATCCCCAGCAATCGGCGGTTGTAGGATTAAACTGTACAAGAGTTCATTCACCGCTAGATGGCAGTATTGTGCATATTGTACAAGAATTGTCAGCTAGTAGGTGTCAAACTGAACTTGTGCTTTAAAATTAGCTTCCGCTAATTTTTCCATGACGTAAGCATTTTTGAAGTTGCGGACCTAAATATTTTCATAAGCGCTTTAGAAATTGCGGAGCTAACTTTTAGATTAGCGCTGCCCAGCACTGGTGGTAAGCTACATCGTAGCCACAGCTGCCCTGGAAGGACACTGACAGAGGTGGGGCTGCCATGCACCGGCACCACCAGACCCTCTGACCACCATCACTAGGCAAGCGGGTGAAGTGTCTTGCCCAAGGACACACTGACAGATAGCTGGAATGGGGGATCAAATCGGCAACCCACCATTTACAGGACGACTCCCCTAACCACTCCGCCACAGGTTTAGCACTTGCATCAACTTTATAGTCTAGACTCCATTACAACTAAAATAAAACAAGTACTTTTCTTTACCACTACATTACCAAATCCAATGTGTCAAGATCTAAATACATATAAAAATGACTTTTATACATAACAGCATCATCCTAATCTATGCTGTGCCGTGAKTAGAGGGCAATGCAAGCAGAGCAAGTACGCTATTCTGCAGGTCACTCACTGACTTCAACCCTATTCAACAGTAGGGTCATTTACAGAGCGTAGCTTTTGACTCATGGTTTTATTTTACAGTCAGAAACAGATTTTAACAGAAATTCTAATCAAAACCTGACCAAGATTTTGTCAAGAAAAATCAATGTCCAYGCTCAAAAATACTGTAAAAAGTAAAAAAAATTAAAGTTTTAGATGTTTTCCCAGCATCCTTTGTAGAGTTGACTTGAGAATTGAATTGTTTTATGAAAACTCATCTCAATGAGATGTTTGAGATGCCTTCACTTATGTTACCACAGTACATGTTTGGGTTTTGGTTTGACATCTGTGTTGAAGGTTTGGTTACTGACTGATGAACTGCACCATGAGTGAAAAAGTCTCAGCTAAGATGTTTAGAAGTGAGGTGGAGAGAGAAGGATGTACAGAAGACACATGAGGAATATGTTAAAAACTACAGGTTTAGTATTATCTTCCACCTTTTTTGTCTAAGTAGTATCAGCGTTAACAGACGATAAGTAATTTACTGTATGTAGTCATTTAGAGGTTAGTGAAGCTACAGTAACATTTTGGTTAGTTGTGCCCATCACTGTAAATAACAAATAAAGCCTGACCACTWCCTGCTCAGACACTAGAGATGGAATAAATGGCTTTTTGAATGGATCTAGATCTTGAAGATCCATTCAAAAGAGCCATACCAAACATGTTAAATGTAGCGACGTACAGTGAATTAGTAGTTAAACATTTTAATGACTAAACATCATCATGCTAGTTTCGTCATTGTATATATACTGAATATATTGCTGTTGTTCTATATGTCTTTCTATATTTAATTTCATTGTACAGGCTTGTGTAATGGCAGTAAAGACAATTCTATTCTATTGTATTTTATTCTAAGTTAGACATGTGGTCTAATCAGACTCAGTTTACGCTTTTATCAACTCAGATGCTAAGTTGATAAAATTCACAAAACTAGACATTCATTAAGCACACATGTTCAAAACTGAGAAATCTTTTTTGATTGCAAATTCAGCTTATGTGATTTGATAATGTTCATTTTGCAGGGCCCAAAAGTGAGTGATGAAAAGCTTCGGGAGATGTGCTCAGCAGTCGTTAAAGGTGTAGTTTCTGACTTTGATATGTTTCTATCCTCCCTCAGTTTTATTTATGTTGGAATGCACAGATTCAAATAGCAGTATTAGGTTCTGGCTTAGTGCAAGTGTGTACTAATACAAAACTGTCCCAATACCACAGTTTCCAATACAATTTTATGACAGCATGATATTTACCTCTCACTTAAGAAGTCAGGTGGCAGAACAGGAACTGTGTCAGTCATGTGGAGGTATTTAAGTGAAGATTAGGAATGTGCGATATGGCAAAAAATTCATGTCACGATATACATTATGATGAGTGGCGGTAACGATATATATC